CAAGTTGCTATATTCCAGGTAGGAATGAAATAATAACAGCATCTCCGAAGGACAGAATCGCATTCCATAAATGGCGGAATGGAATGGAATGGAATAGAGAATAGAATAGAATAGAATAGAATAGAATAGAAGCTTTATTTGGCCAAATACGACTGGACACACAAGGAATATTGCTGTGGGATCTTACAAGATTTCTCTCTTGAGGATATTTAGTTTTAAATTCCAAAGTGTGGTGTTTGTGAAGCTGGGCTGCAGTGATAATATTGTCACCTGTACCTTAATATTGCCCTTTTTGATGCCCCATCCTGGCATTTTTGGCTTCACTGCATCCCATGGGGACCGAGAAGAATCCTTAGGACAGTATGACTGGCCTTTACATTAGTGTTTCTGAACCTCGGCAATGTGTGCCGAGGTTCACATTGTGGACTCCAACTCCCAGAATTCCCCAGACAGCATGGCGACTGGGGAATTCTGGGAGTTGAAGTCCAGGTATCTTAATATTGCCAAGGTTGAGAAATGCTAATCTAAAGGCCAGTCATACTGTCCAAAGGATTCTTCTTTGGACCCCGTTTCCCAACCCTTCTAATCGTCAGGCTTCAGGCGCCCAAAGACTGCTCTTTCTGGCGCCTATCAGCAATGTCTTCACCTGCATTGCCCAAAGCCATTGGGGGGCACCAGAGAAGAAAGCACTCTGTTTCCTGCCAGGGAGGCAGGCAACATATGAGATGCAACACCCACCACAGACAAATAAGGTGACTTCCTAGTTGTCTAGTTTCCTCCAGTGTGAGTGTGACATGAAATTATCCAACTGACAATGCAGAAATCATCCTGAGGTTGACCTTCCGCTTGTCTTCCAAACGACTTTTACATTGGCTAAAAGTTCTGGTCCATCACGTCATTTGGTCCAAGTCCTCCTCCTCCTGTTGAAATCACCTAAGAACAAGGAGCATGGGAAGTCCAACAATCATCGGCCATGGGATCATGGTTGCTACTCCATACTGTGCCACCATAAAACCATTTGGACTCCTTGTGGACAGGCAATCGGTGAAGAATGCAACTGCTGTGGGGGGGGGTGTCCCCCTCATGGAGAATATCCATCTTTATTATTTTATTACATCCTGCAGCCAAAAATAATACAAATAACTTCTGAGGCCTCTGGCAATCAGCAGATAATAAAGTAGTCTCAACAACAATACTTCAGTTAGTTATAGTTAGTTAGTTATAGTTTATTTGATTTGTATACCGCCCTACTCCCGAAGGACTCAGGGCGGTGAACAGCCAACAATAAAATACATAAATACACAAAATTTAAAAACCCGATAAAATCAAATTAAATTATTTGGCCCAGACAAATTAAAATACCCCAATAATTTAAAAACAGATTAAAATTTACGTATTTAAAAAGGGAAGAGATCAGGCCAAGCCCGCTTGATGGAATAAAAAGGTCTTCACAGCACGGCGGAAGGAGCGCAGTTATTCGTTCATCAGATTCACTACCGGTAGCTTCCTTCTCTGGAGCTTCCTGCCCTTCCTCCGGCTTTCCCCAGCACCATCCTGGATGAGGAAGGCTGAGCTGACATGAGACCATCTTCCCAGGACAGTGATCTTTCGACTCAGGCCAAATGTGGACTAGATCAGGAATGTGCTTTAAGAAAGGGCTGCTGGGGGGAGAGGGGGAGACAGCTTGAAAATTACTTTTCAGTTTTAGGTCCTTCCCTCATGTCTTCCTTTTTATAAATAACTCCAGAAGAAATAGGACTTGAAGACGGGGACTTACATGAACGGGGTTGAAGCTGATGGGATTCTTCCACAGCCAGGAAGAAATTGGTCCAGATTCCTGAGCAACTCTGTCTTTGTTTTCAAAAGGCTTCTAGGTCTCATCTGTGCCTGGATAAGATTCTCAGACTTAGACTTAGACTGGGGTTTCTAGCCATTTCCTGTTAAAATAAATCAGGTAAATTAGAAACTAGATAAGCATGCATACATTATGTATATAAAACACATGTTAAGTGTGCACAATTTTCTTTTTAATGATGAAAGTGCAGCTCCGAAGTCTCCCCAACGCAACTTGGGCATGTGCTATACTGTAGGTGCTAACAAATTTGGCTACAGATTTGGCCATATTTCAGCCCACTGGGACATCGCAGCCACCCCAGGTGATGGAGGAGACTCCTAAACCAGTGGAAAGTTTTGAGGTGCAGCTTCACTGTTTTTTATTTTGCGTGGATTCCAGAGGCTTTCTGCAAAGCAAAAATGCTTTGGGGGCTATCAGATGGCTTTGTAGCTGATCTCACCATTCATCACCACACAGAGCAGTGCTTCTTAAACTGGGGGCGGTCTCTCTCTCACACACACACGCACACACACACACACACAGTGGTTTGGGCACCTGAGGGAATGGAGCAATTTAGAGTTTATTGGATTTCTATACCGCCCTTCTCCCAGGGGACTCAGCCACATTAAAACATGAATTTATAAAATTTAAAACCAATTAAAACAAATATATACAATTTGGCCCTCAAATTAAAACACACATACACCCACTTAAAATTCATATTAGTCCAATCCGGCTTGCTGAAACAAGAAGGTCTTTAGGGCACGGCGAAAAGTACGCAGGTCGGGGCTAAGACGAAGCTCTAGGGGCAGTGCATTCCAAAGGGCTGGTGCCCCCACAGAGAAGGCTCTCCCCCTGAGTGTCACCAGTCGGCATTGTTTGGCCGACAGCACCCTGAGGAGCCCCTCTCTATGGGAGCGTATTGGCCAGTGGGAGGTTGTTGATGGCAGAAGGCGGTCTCGTATGTATCCCGGTCCTAAGCCATGGAGCACTTTAAAGGTGGTGACCAATACCTTGAATCGCCCTTGGAAGACCAACGGGAGCCAGTGCAGCTCGCGCAGGAGGGGTGTTACATGGGCGCGCCAAGTCGCACCCATAACCACCCATGCGGCCGCATACTGGACCAGCTGGAGCCTCCGAGTGCTCTTCAAGGAGAGCCCCATGTAGAGAGCGTTGCAGTAGTCCAGACGGGATGTGACGAGGGCATGAGTGACTGTGCACAGGGCATCCCGGTCCAGAAAGGACTGGTGCATCAGGCGAACCCGATAGAAAGCTCCCCTGGCCATGGCCGTCATGTGCTCTTCCAAAGACAGCTGTGCATCCAGGAGAACACCCAAGTTGCGAGCCCTCTCTGTGGGGGCCAAGATCTTACCCCCAATAGTTAGCGATGGTGCCAGCTGACTATACCGGGACGCCGGAAGCCACAGCCACTCAGTCTTGGAGGAGTCGAGTTTGAGCCTGTTTCTTCCCATCCAGATCCGCATGGCCTCCAGGCACCGGGACATCACGTCAAGGGCATCATTGTGGTGGTTCGGAGTGGAGATGTACAGCTGAATGTCGTCAGCGTACTGATGGAATCTCACTCCGAAACCACGGATGATCTTGCCCAGAGGCTTCACATAAATGTTGAACAGAAAAGGCAAGAGGACTGACCCTTGCGGCACCCCACAAACAAGGCGCCTCGAGGTCGACCTCTGCCCCCCTGCCAACACAAACTGCGTGCGATCGGAGAGGAAGGAGGAGAACCACCGCAACACGGTTCCCCCCCACTCCTAACCCCTCAAATCGTCGCAGCATGATACCATGGTCGATGGTATCAAATAGGACCAGGACAGAGGAGCAACCCCTGTCCCGAGCCCTCCAGAGATCATCAACCAATGCGACCAATGCCGTTTCCATGCTGTGCCCTGGCCTGAAGCCCGACTGGAACGGGTCTAGATAATCGGCTTCATCCAGATACTGGGGTAGTTGTCGCGCTACCACACTCTCAACAACCTTCACCACGAAGCGAAGGTTGGAGACTGGGTGATAATTCGCTAATGTAGCCGGGTCCAGGGAAGGCTTCTTGAGGAGAGGCCTCACCACCGCCTCTTTCAAAGAGGTGGGGGAAGTAACCCTCACTCAAAGAAGCGTTGATGATCCCCTGGAGCCAGCCTCGTGTAACCTTCCGGGAGCACCAACCAGGAGGGACACGGATCCAACAAACGTGGCAGCGCTAAGCCTCCCCAGAATCCTGTCCACGTCCTCGGGAGTCACAGGGTCAAACCCCTCCCAGATAACATTCTCAAGATTCCCCTCCATCACTCCATCCGGATCTACCCAATCAGAGTCCAGACCTTCCCGAATCTGAGTGACTTTGTCATGCAGGAACTGCACAAAATTTTCAGCGCCGCCCTGCAAGTGATTTGCCATCACTTGTCTGTGACCTGAGGATCCTGATTGAAATGACTGCCACCGCCATGATACTTATGTAATATAACAGAGTCTGGGTTTTTGGGGAGGTAATGAGAAGAGGGGAGGACAGTTGAGTCAGACAGTTTAAGAATCACTGGTCTAGAGTAAGGTGATGGGGAAGCCAAGACCCTCCCTTTGAGGCCCAAAGCTTGGAAAAGTACAGCCACATGAGTGCTGGTCTAGGAACGGGAGTCCCCTGCCCAGTGGTGAAATGTAAAATTTGTTACTACAAGTTCTGTGGGCGTGGCTTGGTGGGGGGTAATGTGACTGGGTGGGCGTGGCCAACTTTTTTTCCCTTTCTTTTAAAAGCATTTTTTCTACAACCTCTTCGGCCAAAAAAAAATTGCTTTTAAAAATTAAAAAAAGCCTCTGATGGTCGCGCAGCTCAGCTGGGCATGGAGGGGGGGTGAGAAGGGATTTTTGCTACTGGTTCTCTGAACCACCTGCCGCCATCGCTACCGGATCAGGCAATCCGGTCCGAACCGGGAACATTTCACCCCTGCCCCTGCCCAAGTCCCCTTCTCTCATCCCCGCTTTCCTCACAGGATGGTGGTGTGGAGAAGAGGGGCGGGGGAGCCACTTGAAGTCCTGAATGAAAGGCGGAATATACTAAAGAATAAACAATGAGCTTTATCAGTCTGGAAGTTGAGGGGTGGCCTGAGTGGAGGCTGCTCCGTTGAAGCAGGGGTGAAATGCTCCTGGATCAGACCGGATCGCCTGATCTGGTAGCGATCTTGGCCGGGTGTCAGTACTTCCTGGTTGTAAGTAATGTTTTTTACCTTTTGCGCATGGGCAGAAAGTTTTGTGCATGCGCAGAAGGTCTGCGTGCGTGAGTGAAGCGAGCCAGTGTGCGCACCACGTGCGCTTCCAAGCCAGTAAGGAAGGTAAGTAGATTTCACCCCCACGTTGAAGGATGTCTCTTGGTTTCCATCTCACCATCGTCTTTTTCTTTTCCTCCTCCTCTCCTCTCCCCCATGCAGAATGTCCCACGGAATCTCCTCTGCACCCTCTCCAAAGGGGTTCCTCTCGGAGGAAAAGTGAAGAGCTGCTGTCCCTGCAGGGAGGCTTGCTGCCCAGGGAGTTTGGGGCAGAAACAAGTGTTGAGCAGCCATCTGGAGAATGAATTGGCTCCATGCGGGAGGCCACGTTTTCTGCCCTGCCTGGAGCTTGGCCAAGCCTTGGCCTCCTGAAGGCTGGCCCACCCTCTCTGCCATCACAGCCTGAAGAGGCCTGCAGCTATGGACACGAGGGTCCCCGACCCCTGCTTTGAGCTGCCCTCACCATGCTAGTGCTTGGGGACAAGAACTTCCTTACCGACGTCATCTACATTGCCTTTGAGCTGGTCATTGCCCTTCTGGCCATCTTTGGGAATGTCTTGGTCTGTTGGGCCGTTTATCTCAACAGCAACCTGCAGAACGTCACCAATTACTTTGTGGCTTCCCTGGCGGTAGCTGACATTGCGGTGGGGGTCCTGGCCATCCCCTTCGCCATCACGATCAGCACCGGCTTCTGCGCCTTCTTTTACGGCTGCCTCTTCATCGCCTGCTTTGTCCTGGTGCTGACCCAGAGCTCCATCTTCAGCCTCCTGGCCATTGCCATCGATCGGATTATTGCTATCCGTATCCCTCTCAGGTAAATATGCCAAAGGTGCAGAATTGAATAACTGAGTTTGAAGAGACTTTGGAGGTCTTCTAGTCCAACCCCCTGCTCAAGAAGGAGACCCTAGACCAGCGGTTCTCAACCTGGGGGTCGCGACCCCTTTGGGGGTCAAACGGCCATTTCACAGGGGTCGCCAAAGCCCTCTCTCACCCCCCACGCCTTCACTCACCCTCACTCTCTGCTCTGTTGGATCGCCGGCCGTTCGCTTACCCCGCCCACTCCCAATCTATTGCTGCCTCCTGAGTCCCAGCTGATGGCTAGAGGGAAAAAACTGTTTAAATTCTTGCCGCAGGGCTTCAAAGGGCCGCCCTACAGCCAGTGGTGGGATTCTGCTGGTTCCGCCCTGCCCCTTGCCCCGCCCCTCCGCACCACTATTTATTGCCAATAAATAGTGGTGGGCGAGGGGCGGGCGAGCCAGCAATTTAACAAACTGTTCAGTGGTTTTTTTGTAATTTTATTGGCCCGCGGAGCTTCAGCATAGGCTAATTAGCCCTTGATTAGATCGGCTCCTGACTCTCAGCTGATTTGCTCTCAGCTGTTTTGCTCAGGGCTCTGCTGCTTACTTGCAAAGAGTGCAGATTTTTTTCCTCCTATCTATGCTGAAAAACGAAACTGAAAGTAAAGCAGGCTGTTGGCTTTGCTGTAACATTGGAAAATTAGGCAGGCAGATTTCTTTTCTTTTTCCTCACCAAAAAAGGTAGGTGCAAACAATGGGAAATTTAGGGAAAAAGAGGAGAGTTAAAAAGATTTTAAAGCACAAAAGAAAAAAAGCTCTATTTAACTAGGGAATTGTAATAATTGAGATACTATTAATTGTATATTGTGTTGAAAGCAGAAATGGTTTAAGTTATGGTTTGGAGGAATATATGGGGGAAATTATTTGGTTTATTATTATTGGTAAATATAATTGATTTATAAGAAATTGGATTGCATGGAAATATTTGGAATATTCATGTTCATATTGATTAATATACAAAAAAGGTAGTTATATAACTAATCGATTTATATTAAAATGTTGAATTTATATTAAAGAACTGTAATATTACATAATTAACCAATGTGAGGATGGATATAAAAATAGATGACAATGGGAAGGGGTATAATATAGAATAGAAGGGAAAAATTGAATTTGATTAAGATTAGAGATGAGGATGAAGGGTAATATTGGTTTTTTTCAAAAATAGATGAGGAATAAATATGGCAAAAAGGAAATATAGAAATTGTAAATTTAATTGAAATGACTAAACACTGTTTAAATTTGTGAACCGGCCAAATACTCTGTTCAAAGAAAATACATTGTATGTTTGTATGTGTATTTCTAATTATTGTTATTTATTCATATTTGTTCTCTTTTATTCTTTAAAGTTTAACAATTCATTCTTTATTTTAATATCTTTATATTTGTTTGAGGTTGGCTTTCTTCCCTTTCATCTTTTTTATTGTACAGCAATCTTTCTCCTCAAACCTACCACCTCTCTCTTTTCTTTCCTTCTTACTTTCTCTTCCTCCCCCTCTTCTTCTCCTCCCTACTTCCTCTTCCTTTCTCCTTCTCCTCCTCTCTTCCTCCCTCTCTTACCCTCCCTCCTACTCTAATTTCCCTTCCCTTCCTTCATCTCTATTGCTGTATCCTTTTATGCATATGGACAACTCAGAGGGCTGAAAAAGTTATTTCTGACTGGTCCTCGCACTTTTGACCAGTCCTCGAACTTACGACTGTCCTCACATTTTACCTTTTTGCCCTATCTTGTCATCATGGTGAAGAGAAGCAGTTGTGAAATGAGTGACATGGTTGTTAAGAATGCTACAATGGGCATAAATGATGACCAGTCATAAGTGCGAAGACTGGTCAAAAGTGCGAGGACCTGTCAGAAATGACTTTTTTTCAGCCCTCTGAGTAGTCCCTATACACATAGCCACGGCCACCCGGTCACATGACCTCCAAGCCACGCCCACAAAATAAGCCACACCCACAGAACCGGTAGTAAAAAAATTTAGAACCCACCCCTGGTTGGGGGTCACCACAACATGAGGAACTGTATTAAAGGGTCGCGGCATTAGGAAGGTTGAGAACCACTGAGGTAGAGCATTTCAGACAGGCGACTGTCCAGTCTCTTCTTAAAGACCTCCAGTGATGGAGCACCCACAGCTTCTGAAAGCAGGCCCTTCCACTGGTTAATTGTCCTCACTGTTAGGCAGTTTCTCCATAATTCCAGGTTGCTCCTCTCTTTGATCCATTGTTTCCTGTCTTGCCTTCTGGTGCTTTGGAAAATCTTTGTGGCAGGAGGGACTTCTCTGCAGAATTCCCAGGTTGTGGTTTAGCAGGGCCTGTGCATGTGATTGTCAAGCGCAGCAGAACGAGTTCCTGCTGGCCCCAGGGAGCCTCCTTCCAAACACGCAGAGCACTTTTTTTGCTGGACAATGAGAAATAAAGCAGGTGTTCTCTGCATCTTGTGACATCTCAACCCTTGTCCCTGAATCAGCTGCCCCAGAGGCTAAAGGACATGGGCTCCAGTTCCAGGAGGCAAACCCATAGCAAAACTGCCCAGGAGAAAGTAGCCATCCCCCAGCGCTTCCTTCTGGAGTCTGTTACACAAGTAGTAGCACCCCCCTGAAACGCAGAGTCCCAGCTTCCTAGCCAGGAAGGCTCCAATAGGATGCCAAGGTTGAGTGGCTACACAGTCCAAGACAACTGTCAACCGCCTCCCTTCCTTCTTGCAAGGCCTTAAAAGGCGGCCCGAGCAATTTCAGCTCAAAACCTGGGTTAGAATTGCATGAAACTGAATCTAGAAAGCTGTTTGTTCAAGAGTTTCTGGAGCTGTTCAGCAACGAGACTCTCTGGGTAGGATTGAACTATGGTTGGAGAAAGACTTTCAGAACAGCATAAGGTTTCGTTAGATATGCACAAATTAAAAAAATCAAAATACTTGCTCCTTACTGGGGGCAATGAAATGCTATACAACAAAAAAGACAGATACCCAAATCCTTTTTTGCTCCAGTTTTCTCCAGCAAGGAGATAAGTGCTTTCCACTAGGCAATTGGGGGAAACCAAACAAAGGGGCGGAATTGAAGCTTGAGGTAGGGAACATCTGAGTTTCCATCTACAAAGAATAAAGTAGCTTATGAGCCGGGGAAAGCTTTCTCTTTGGGAAAACCTGGACAAACTATGAAGTGAAAGCGAGCGGAGGTCCTTCCTTCAAAGGAAGGGGAAAAGTATCTATGGGGAACTACCAGTCTGACATGAATATTTGGGAAGATCCTAGAAGCAGAAGCAGACCTATAACAGCCTGGATGAAATGCTGCAGATTTAATCTATTTTGATTGAGGTAGGGCATCTAACAAACCAGTCCATGGCATTCTGATCGCAGATTAGTTAATTGTGAGTAAACATTTCCATAGCCACCCATCTTTCAACCAACTCTGGGCTCCTCCTAATAAAAAATTTAAAAACATTAAAGACTATAAAACTCAGCCAATTAAAACATTAAAAACAACCAAGTTGGATGGGATGAAAATGAAGTTGATATATAATTGGCTAAAAATTGACCAGAGAATCAAATTTGAGTGAGGTGCAAGGATCGGACCTGGAACTTCTGTTTTTCAGGATTTTATAATAATGATTCAGGTGAACAAACACAGGAATGCTTAATAAATTTGCAGATGGCACAAGTTTGATTACTACTATCCTAAAAGACAGAAATATATTTTTAAAAAACCTTAATAGCACAAGTAAATCGGTTGAAAATAGCAAAATTACATTTAATAGAGAGAGGTGCCAAGTTCTTCACTTAATGGAAATGGACATTAAGAATTTCTTCATTGTTTTAATGAAGGAATAGCAATAGCGTTTTATTTGTAATAAATGTTACTCCACATGGGGAGGTCTTTCTTTAGGAGCTGAAATGAATTACAGTTCTGCAGCCTTTGTTACAGTCCAAACAGCTTTTACTCTCTCCTGATCACCATCTTCCTCCCTTTTTCAAACTCTCCTTTTATTGTCTTTTTGGGGGGGTTCACACCACAAAACCGTTATGTTGCAATTGCCTCCTAACTCCCAGCAATGGGTTCTCATCAGGCTCCTTTTTGCAAACATAATTAGACAGGGACCACTTTTATTTTCATTTATTTATTTGGGTGATTTATCTGTCTGCCCTCTCCCTCTCAGTGCCGTTGATTTCCTCCTTGGCTTATCACAATTTTCTGAATCCACTCAAGCAGTTTATTGTAACGTTCAATCTTTAATGAATGTGGCTCTTAGAAATCCCCTTTGACTTCTCTTTATGAGCCCGGAAGGAATCGTCTTCAATTACAAAATTCCCCAGGCTGCTCGAGGGCCTCTCAAAGGCCTTGAAGGACTCTGAGCTCGGAGTCTCCCAGGGTCTCTCCCACCATCACCGCAGAAGATAATTCTCCGGGAGCCTCTTGGGACCTTTCAAACGCAGGAAGATGGATTGGGAGCACAGCCTGTGTAGACTGTATCTCTGCAGGCACCAGGGGAGGGTGAACTGGCTGGTTCCCTCTCTCTGGAGCCTTCCGATGATCCCCCAGCTTCACAGTGAGGCTCCTTCATGCCAAGGCTTTGCCCAGAATTCTTGGCCCAGGAGCGGTTCATAAGGAGGGGGGGAAGCCATCCGGGTTCCCCTTCTTCTTCTCTGACTCCAGGAAAATGGAAAGCTGAGTCCTCTTTACAAAGGATCTTCAAACACAGAACATTGCACCGAATGCTTCAAACCCAGGATTCACCAGACTACACTCCGTGTTCATCAGTGGCACAAAAGATTGTGAACATTATTTATTAATTTTATATCCAACTTCAAGACCGGCCCTCTAAAAGGCACTTTTCTGGAAACTCTTTGTGTGTGTTTTTTTAAAGCAACGTCTTTAGAAAACAATTTCTAGTTCTTTCACAGCACCTCCAGATGTTGAGGTGTTCAGTTTGCCTCCTTCAATTTGAGATGATGGGGCAGATCAGCCTCCGGCCTCAGGAAGCAGAACTGGCCGATCTGCCTCCTTTCTTGTATAGGTCAGAAGTTGTGTGATCAATAATCTGAGCTTGACCATCCAGAAGCCAGGCCTAAAGGCAGGACCTGGACAAAGACGGAAATCTAAATAGCTTTCCTTCCCAGCCTTGGTTAGAGAATCCAGCCATGGTTTATCTGGAAAAATAAGCATAAATTAAGTCGCTGGTTGTATGTTCCTCAGAAGGGGCTCCTTGCCTCTTCTCAGCCCTTGTTAGGCTTCTGCTCTTGGCCCGCTCTGCGCAGCAAATAAGGATGGAACTTGAAAGGGAGCGGGCAGTGCCTCCAACAAATGCATCAGGGGATCTGCCGCCTGGCAGAGGCCACTCTGGGCACGGCCAGTCCCAGGGCTTCTCCAAATAAAACTAGGACCCATTCTTAATTTTTAAAATTAATTTATAATATTTGCAAGCTGTCTTTTGGGACAAAGGCCCCCTTCCCTTGTGATGCCCAAGAGAGTCCCCCCCCAACCTCTGGAGGAGGAACCTCCGGGATCCATCAGCCCCATCACTGCTGGTCTCAAAGCCCTTCTGTGGAGCCCCAGGGAGTTCCAGCTGGAACAGGAAGCACTTCCAGTATTGATCAGAAATCTCTGTTTAAAGGAAAAAAACTATTATCAGCACCCTCATGTCATTGGTTCCAAGAATCGATATTACCCTGTTTTATGTCAATCATCAATTTACATGACCCTCATCTTTATTACAACGAATGCCACATGAAACTTGATTTCAACGGATTGGCTCACTTTGGGTCTGAATGTGCCCTGGCCAAAGATGAGTCTACGGGGCAATGTTGGGTTTTCCTTCCACTCCACTGATAGTGTCAAGGGGGTGGGCATTGATCCTGCCCCCAGGCCCTCCACCCCTTACAGCTGGGCTGTGCCGAGTCCTGGTGATACCCAGAAGGCAATTCCCTCTGCCTTAAAATGGCCTCATCTTCATGGCTGGGAACTATAGCTGTGTGAATGCAGTTTCCAACAGACACCCTCACTATTAAGTTTCCAGAATTCTTTTGAGGAACTCCACAGTGAACATTTTCCCAGATTATTTACAGTGTGGATAGAATCATAAATCCCTGGCTTCCTGTTGATAGAGGATCCTTTTAGGATGAATTTTAACAACTTTTTTTTTAAAGGTGTAGGGTTCAGTTCTCTCATCTACCTCTAATTGTTCCATTGCCCTGGAACTGAGGGCAATGCCAGGCATGGCTTGAGATCTGCTGAGGAGGTGGATTGAATCCCATGTCGGTCAGTCCACACAGTGCTGGCCACATTCCACAGCATCAGATCCCAGCTCTCTCCTGTTGCAATGGAGTGATTCTGCAGCAAGATGCTGGAATCTGGACAGATTCTATCAATTGATCAGTTCTGCTATCTTCTCTTCCCGTGTAGATGGAATTTCATGCATTGCCTTTCTCTGCTCTTCTTCCAGGTACAATGCTCTAGTCACCAGCTCACGTGCCAAGGGAGTCATCGCCATCTGTTGGTTCTTATCCTTCATTATTGGCCTGACGCCAATGCTGGGCTGGCACAGGAAGGCTCTGGAAGAGAATGGGCAAACTCAGAATAGAACCAACTGCAGCAGCAATATGGTGCGTTGCTTCTTTGCAACTGTGGTCACCATGGATTACATGGTCTACTACAACTTTTTTGCATGTGTGCTGGTTCCTCTCCTTCTGATGTTTGGGATCTACTTGAAGATCTTCATGACAGCCCGGCAGCAGCTCAAGCAGATGGAAAACAAGATGATGCATGGGGAACGATCCCGATACATTCTGCAAAAAGAGGTCCATGCAGCGAAGTCTCTGGCCTTCATTGTTGGGATGTTTGCTATCTGCTGGCTGCCATTACACCTGATCAATTGCTTCACCCTCTTTTGCCCCACTTGCAACAACCCTCCCCCCGGGGTCATGTACCTGGCCATTATCTTATCCCATGCCAACTCCGTGGTGAACCCCCTGATCTACGCGTATCAGATCCGAGAGTTCCGCTGCACCTTCAGGAAGATCATCCAGCGGCACATCCTGTGCAGGAAACAGGGCTTCAGATCCGCCACTGCCAGCCGTAGGACTTCCGCTCACGATGGTGAGACTGAAAACACGGCCATACAGATCAGCAACTATTCGCTCAACTTCTACTCCAGCAGAGACTTCAGGAGCATCCATGGGGGCGGTTCTGGGGGGCAAAGCATCTGCATGGAATGGACCCCAAGCCAGAATGGACTGACTGGAGAAGTGAACGGGCACCTTGTACTTTCCTGCAAAAATGGGGAGCTCCAGAAAAACGGAGCCCCTTAGCCTCTTGGGGTTCCTGGGTTTTATGGCAACTTCATTGGAAGCCTCGAAGGCGTCCTGAGGGTGGTGGGGCTGTTGCTGTGCTGGAGCTGAACCTTGCTAGGCTGCAGGGTTAAGGGAGGAGGCATCCCTCTCTTCGGTTAAGGGAGAAGAGGACTGCCAGGAGAGGGAAAGGGCACCAGAACCAGGCACAGGGCCAGCAAGCCAAGGACTTCATGGCTGCTTAAGGGGTCTTGGAGGATGGGGGAGGGGCAGCAGCCCATGTGATCGTACCAGTCGGTGGCCAAATTTTGCCAGTCTAGATGTACTTATTGAATCACAGGGCAAGGAAACTGCATGTTTTGCTGCTGTGGGGGGAGGGAAGGCTGACCAGTGGTCGCGGAGTCCATCTGGCTGGCTGGCCAGAAGCCCAACAATCATTGTGTAAATGCCATTGTTCATGTAAGAACACAAGTAGAGCATTCTTCAGTGCAAACTCTTTGCTGTCTGGCTACTCTTATTCTCCTGGGGGTGTGGGGGGGCAGGCTCTGTGCCCCCAAAACCCCCAGGAGGGAGAGCAAAGTGGAGGGAGAACAAAGCTGTTTGGGGCTCTCTTGTTGGATGTAAATGGCTGCTCAGGCCCAGTCCAGGGGGCAGAGCAGGGAGGGGGCTGATGTGAAGGAGGGAGCCCCCACCGGGCAGCAGGAGCAACTCTAAGGAAATGGCTGTTGGGAGGCTGAAGAAGGGTCTTCTGCACCCAGGATGCGATGGGGGATGGTTGCCTCTCTGGACCCCTGAGGATACAAACCCATCTTTCCAGGCTTCCTCTTGCTGCTGGGTTTGCTAAGCCTGCCGTCTGTTAGGATCCTTCCCCTGAGCCTTTTTTGCTTTCTCTCGAATTTTGTTCTAACTAAACATTATACTTTTCTGCAGAAGCATAAAATAGATTTGGAACTATGAAAGGGTGACCTGTCTATTGTGCCATTTTAATTGAAAATGTCTCCATAGACCGGGACTTCACTGCTCAGAAAGGAAAGGCCAGACTGACAAATTAGAAATAATTGTGAGCTGCCAAGGAGTGGCCGGCATGGCCATCAGCTGTTGGTGGAATAGTGGCAGGGTAGCCGTGTTGGAGCCAAGGGCCACTGAAGCCTGGAGGCTTTGGAGGCCCTTGGCACTAGGCCTTTCAAGGCAGCGGTGGCAACGCTGGCAGCGGCGGATTGATTGGGTTTCCAAGATTGGGCACGGGTGCTTGACCGGCTGCACATACTTTGTGGGCCATACGTTGTGCAGGCGTCCCCTCAACTGTAGCTTGGAGTGGTGCAAATGGAAAGTCCTACTTTCCACCTATCTCGCATGAGGTTGAAACCTGGGACACAGGTTACTTTCCTGAGCATCTGTCCCCAAGTAGCTAATCTCCAGATGTCTCCACTACAGTTCCCATAATCACCGGCCATGCTAACCAGGATGATGGTGGTTGAAATCTGATCTCTCTGGAGACCACTCATGTGGAGCTCTTCTGGACAGTGCCTGGGGCAAGGAGAGGGTAAAGGAGCCCGTTTGGGCCTCTTCAAAGCCACTGCCAGGCAGGGATTCCAAGAAGCCAAAGGCAACAGTTCCTGTTGGTCTGTCCAGTGGGCAATATCCCCCATGGAGATCCCCCCTGGCAGGAAGAGATGACCAGGCTGCAATGGCATTGCGTTCCATGCAAGCAGAACCCCACAGTTAAAAATAGCTTTGTGCTGCTCCTTGGCACCTTAAACAAAGCCCCGGAAGGACCTCGCCTTCACCAGACAAATCTGGAATCTAAAAAAGTCAAGTCATTCAGAAGCTCCCCTCTCCTGCTCCTTTCCAGCTGCCCAGCTCTGGCATGCCTGGATGCAGGGGAGGGGGGACCAAAGGCAAGAAGGACTGCAGCCCCCTCCCCCATATTATGATTCCTCGGACCACAATTCGTGCTTCTGAGCTTGAAGTCATGAAGCCAGCCTGGCAAAGAAGCCCCACCTGGCAGCCTCTGGCCTGGTGCAAAAGAGGAGCAGAGCCACTAGGGCTGCTGAGAAGAGAAGTCCGATTCTGGGCCAGCTCCCTTCCCAGTATTTTCTCTTCCAGCCTTCTCTCTTGGCTCACTCTTTCCCAACTGGAAAGGAGAATTCCTCCTTCATCCTGAAGACGAAGAGTGCGCAGGTCAAGGCTGGCTTTGGGCTAATGAACTTGGGATCCACAGGCAGCCCTTCCACCTCTGGAAAATACCAGAGGTGGAAGGGCTGACCTCAGGAAGTCCTCCAGGCTGGTGGAAGAAGTGGTGGGCCCCCTTCCCTCCCTCCCTCCCAGCCTCTGATTGTCTCACCAGATAGTGACACACATACCCCCCCCCCCAGGTCGCTTTTCCAAGCCAAAGCAAAGGGGACACCTCAGTGATAGTTGGCTGGTCTGGCAGGAAATGGAAGCGACATTGGGTGACAGAGGAAGAAAGCCTTCTCCAGACACACATTTCCTACCCCCAAAGGATAACGGATGCAACAGCACTAATCCACAAAAGCAGCAGTTAAAAACTAAGAAACACGTTAAGAGAAGGCATTGAACCATTAAACAGCTGATGAAAAGGAATTTAGTGCCCAAGTAAGGAAGAGTAAGGGCTTGGCAAAGCACGCAAAGGGGCTCCTTCTCTCTAGCGTGGAGCTCTGCCCTGGGTTGGGAAGGGGCTGGGCCCACGAAGCTCTTGAAGGAGGAATAGGTGGTGCTTCCCCACTGACTGCCAGGCTGCTGTGTCCTGATAAGAGAGGTGGCTGCGAGTGCAAGGAGGCGATAAACCTCCGGGAGCTTCACTCCCCATTCAAAATGGTGGGGAACAGCTGCTTAACCAGACGGAAGCTCGGCCGTCATCTGCTGAAGCCACAAAAGAAACTCTGTTGGCTGAAGGGTCCAAATGGAGCCCAGGCTACTGAGAGATGCTGCTGACCTCATGTTGGCCACTGAGAAGGCCAGTCTTTTCAGAGGCAGCTGGTTTTCCAAAGTGAGGACTGTGGTGCAGACCTTCTGCAGAGACCAGCACATTCTGCACAATAATGCCCAATGCATCTGTGGCAGCGTTATTTATCCTGAAATCCATATTGGGAAGCTAAAGATGATTTCTCTGAAGACGAGGATGGGCACTTCTATACTTCAGTCAGTGACTCTTTTCTTGCAATGAGGCTCGCAAAGGACGGGCTCTTTGGTGTGAGCTGCAGTTTAAAGGAGAAAATGTCTGCATTTCACTCTGGGAATTTGCATCCTCTCTTCTTTTAAATCAGATTTCCTTCCTTCTTCCCCTTCTTTGGACGCCTTCTGCCGGATTTCCAAGAGCCCTGTCTTCCAGTTCACCTAAGGATTCCGTTTCTGGAGCCAAGACAGTCTCTCCATCCCCTGCGTGACTATAAAACTCAGAGTCTCTTTGGGCTTTCCCACTCTCCTCTCCACTGGCTCAGTTTAAAATGAGCCAGGAACACACACACACACACACACACACACACACACACACCTGTCCTATCCAGTTGGCAAAAAGCTGTTGGCACCTTCAGCTGCTTGAATCTCAATCCCATCTTTTCCATCATTCAGGGCTAACTGCACACCTGGTGCAACCCAAGTCCAGGAGAGCCAACATCCTCCCCTGGCATGAGGGAGCCACTAGTTCCTCTGGAATGGTTACGGGGATGATGTGTCAACTTACCAGGGGGGTCCCCATTGAGGTTGGCTTCACTTTCACCTGGGCTGGTCCCAGCCCCTCATAATCAGGAGGGACAAATTCAATGACCTCCACCCTTTGCAGTGCTGTCTCACAGGTCCTTGGAGCTGGCTTCTCTGCCTTCCTCCCCTGGGTCACCACCACTTTGAGGTTGGGCTTGTTGGATCGGCATTCCACAGCTCGATGCCCCTCTTGAAGCACACCGTGGGTCACAGTCTGGGCCCAGATTCACCCTTCATTGACTTCAGGGGTTCCTTACGCCCAGGAGGGGAGGATTTGCATCACCTGTGGCCACCAGGTGTCAGTCTCAGGCTCTATTTCATCTGCCAGCACATACCAATGTTGTGGGGTGTGTGAGACTCCACGCAAGATGCAGGTGTGGTAGACGTAGTTGAGGTCATCTTTGAAGCAATCAATCAGGACGTGGCTAGCTGGCATGCCAACTCTCAGGACTCCTGGGTGTACGCTGACCTTGGGTGAGGGTCTTCATCTGGGTCTGTGCCTTGTGCTCTGCCAGTGGGTCCTCAAAATGTTGGCGAAAGGATCCCATAAAGTGGTCGTAGTTCCACAGCTGGGGGGCGCTATTACAGAGGGAGACTATCCATTCGGCTGCTGCACCCTCAAGAGCCACAGTCACGCATCTTACACAGGCTGCCTCCAGCCCCAGTTCAGCCCCACACTCTTGCATGTAGTTCCCCAGACTTGTGCCAGAAGGAACCCCAGTTGCTTGGGGTCCCCCCCATACTTCACTCCCAAGGCTGGGACCTTCTGGGCCCGGCATCTCCGAGGGGCAGCTCCTGCAAGTGGAGGGGCTTGTGCAGCAGGAGCTGCTGCTGGTTGCACCGCTGGGGCTGGGGCAGGGGTGAAATCTAAAAATTTTTGCTACCTGTTCTGTGGGCGTGGCTTAATTAGTGGGTGGGGCTTGGTGGTAAGGTGACTGGGAGGGCATGGCTTGTTGGTCAGGTGGGCGTGGCCAAGTCAATGTCACTTCTTTGCCCTTTTTTAACTACAAAACACAACACAACACAACTGGCTCACCCACAATATAAAAGCAGCTGTGCTAGACCCAAAATGGCCCCTGCAACAAGCAGGAACCTCACACAGCCACAAAAAGTCCAAAAAACCAACTTTCCCACTTTATGGGAGCCTTTCACCAACATTTTGAGGACCCACTGGCAGAGCACACACAAAATTCCACATACAGCTTTGTGAGATTTTGTGTGTTTGTGTAGTTAGAGTGAAACACTACAGAAACACACTAAATCTCAGAAAGCTGCACAAATATTATTTTATTTTAATTTATTTTTATTATATTATAAAATATAAAAACAGCTAAATTTAAAACTTCCTAAACTTTAAATGGCTAGGTCTAAAAAAAGAACAACTAAAAAAAAACCCAATTAACTATTTTTTTAAAGCTCCTCCCAAAGGGGAAAAAAACTTACCCAATAGAACAGGGGTCTCCAACCTGGGCAACTTTAAGACTTGTAGCCTTCAACTCCCAGAATTCCTCAGCCAGCTTTGCTTTGCTGGCTGAGGAATTCTGGGAGTTGAAGTCCACAACTCCCTGCCTGCTTGATTGCAGGCAGGGAGTTGCTTGCTGATGGAATGGATTCAGGCAAGTGAAGCAAGGCAAGCGTTGGGACTAGCAGCTAAGGTAAGCAAGCTGAGGGGGGGAGGGGGAGGGATTTTTGCTAGCAGATTGTCAGAGCCATTTAAAAGGAAAAAAGTTTTTTTCTTTTACATGGCTCTGGCGATCCAAGCTGAGTTGCCTGATT